TCTGCTCCCATCCCCTGCATTTAGCAAAGGGCAGGGTCATGGCCAAAGTCATTGTGTTAATGAGTGGAGTTGCAGGTAGAACCCAGGAGCTCGAGGGTCAGGAGGAGGGCAAGCGTAGTGTTTGGGGAGTACTTGGTATCTCCTTCTACGGTTTCCAGTCCGGTTAACCAAAGGACAGCTAGTTACCCCTGATAACAGCTGACGAACACAGGGTTAATTTTGGATTCTTAGTGGCAGGACAGACAAGAAAATCTTCCCATCACCCTTCACTTTCTTGTTGTGTGCTGGCTTCGTCTTGCCCTGAGGCAAAACTGGTGCCCTGGTCTGAAACTTTGCAGAGCTCATTTTATTTCCGTAAGAACCAAGCTGATTTGTCCCACAAAGCACACTGCTGTCAGTCTCCCCTTCCTATAACACATGGCCTTCCCTCCTCAGCAACCTGCCTTAGCTCCCCAGTGCCTGTAGATGAGTCCCCGGCACTCCCAGATCTGGCATCATCTCTTCCACACCTTCCCTGCATCCCCTTCCCGTCTCCCCAGGACACACACTGCCCCCAGGGTGGAGCTTCCATCCCCGATACCTTTCTCCCTCTTCTCATCGTAGGCTGCACACACTGGATCTGCCAACTCAACAGCTGTTCATTCATTCACTCCTTCCGCCTTACAAGTTTGGTCACGGCACCCAAGTGCCTAACTAAAAATATTTGATTGCCACTCCCCGGTAGGTTGGGGAAGCTGCTTGGCAAAGAGCCAAGTTGTGGTCAATACGCTAAGGACAGAAGTCCCTCAGGGACATGTTCCTTCCGGGAGAGAAGGGGAAAGCCATCCTAGGTTAACACTCTTAGTGCCTCGCTCACCCTATCCTCTTCCCTGGAACGCAGGGGTGAGGCCGGGAGAGGCAGCAGCCACCCTCCTACCAGGAGGCCACAGCCCTGGGCCCATGGCCTCCACGCTCAGGATGGCAGAGTGGAAAGACCGAGTCTGGCTCCCAACGGGCACAGCTGAGGCCCTGTCCTGCCCGCCCTTCTTGCTGTCTGACACCAAGGAGCCCCCATCTGGTGAAGTCACCGGTGCTCAGGGTTCTGTGGCTAGCAGCTCAGTGCAGTGATGTCTCACACACCTCCAGACACAATTCCGCCTCATTCCCGGGTCAGTCCGGATGCTAGCCACACTAGGATATGCTCCATGGCTCTTTCCCTCGGAGAATAATCATGCCCTTTATTGTGCTTCCATGTAGTTACTTTTTTTGAATTATAGCACCTATTTAAGCCTGCGTGGTACGGCCTAATGGTTGTTTCCCTGCCTGTCTGCTCAGAGTCCGACCTAGAGGGTCAGGGACTCCATCTCACCAGCATTCCTATACATTCACTAACACTATGCATTCTATACATTCACTAACACTATATTCCTATACATTCACTAACGCTATGCATTCCAGTGTGCACTGCACTGGAGCTGTTTGGTCTTGGGCCCCACGTTAGAGTACCTCTCTGTGTTCTCGGCTTCCTCGTCCATTAAAAGGAGAGAACGAGAGCACATAGCTCACAGAACTGTCACAAAGACAAAACAGTTTAACCATACCCAACATGGCTCCTGGCACGTAAAAGCGCTTAATGACGACAGGCTCTTATGGGTGTGGTGAGCCTCCTGGTTGCTGAAGGGACAAGGAAATCAACACGTAGTTGATATGTCAGCGAACACAGGAATAAACTCCCGAAGATTCCTCTGAGCTCAGACCACAGGGCAGTGGTCACTGCTTCCTTTCCTGCCTGAGCCTGACTCTTTCCTTTTCATTCTAACTACATCTTCCCATATCCAGGGAGCTGCCATAACAGAGTGTGTCAAGGTAAAATGTAAGGCCAGGCTTTGAATACTGACTTTTTTTTTTTCTTCTTCTTCTTTTTTTCTTTTTTGCTGTGCAGCTTTGGGCAACTTTCTTCACCTCTCTGAGCCTCCGTCTCTTCAACTACAAACTGGGGATAACAATATGGAACTGACCTCACAGGGTTACAGTAAGAATGGAATGATAAAGCAAGGAAAATAAACATCACTGTGCCTGGCATACTGAAGTACATAGTGTTTAGCCACGGTCATCAAACACTGCCATTATTCTTTTGGTCAGATGCACAGCCTCCCACGGAATCCCAGGGCCCCGCTGTGCATGAGACACCTGGCGTGGAGCCACGCCCAGCCCCACGGGGGCATGTCAAGATACTCTGCTTTCACACAAGGGAGAAGACCCTTCTTGAGTGCCAACAAACATCTATGTCTCTTGGATCTTTTCCTTTAAAGGAGGGATTATTTAATATACTGCAGGTGCTCGAATGACGTCACCTCATTATGACGTTGACGAGGAAAAAGAAATGGATTTCCGAGCCGGGCGGACCGCTGTCTGTGTGGAGTTTGCATGCTCTCCCCATGTCTTTGTGGGTTTCCCTCCACATCCCATGTGCATGTTAGGAGAACTGGTGTGTCTAAATTGTGTCAGGCTGAGTGTGAGTGGAAGGGTGAGTTAGTGCCTCACACCCTGAGCTGTCGGGACAGGCTACAGCCACCTGAGACCCCGGACTGGAATATGTGAGTTAAATTATCTTATTTTTTATTCATCTTTCTTAAGTGAATGTATAGCTCACATGTATGTCTATGTTGAACATTAGATGTATTTTGGGGGTTTATTTACACATGTGGTGGCAAGGTTTTGTGATGAAAAATAGGCTGTTGTCACTGAACTTCTCTTTATGTCAGTTAGCCTGGGGTCAAACGGGTTTCCTTATGAGTCATTTCCATTAAAGTTGCAGTCCCCAGGAACCTATTGACAAGGTCAAGTGAGGACTTACGGTACCTGATTTACCTTCAAACCCTGGCCGCTGACTTTTTCCCTCCCCGTAAGAGCTAGCTGATAACTTGAGGTGGATCTTTAGTGGACATCCAACTTGGCTGGAAGGTAGGGACCACAAGGGAACAATCCAGGGGCAGAGCTTTTAAATAGCAAGGATATTCCCACAGTTCACAGGGCCAGTCATTGTCCGTGACACACATTTCCGTCTTACTTATAGAATGGTCCCCGTTGGGCCTCAAAGGAAGAAGTGTATATAGCTCTCCATAACTTTCCCTTTAAACTTAAATCAAACCTTTATGTTAGACCCGTTCGAGCACTTGACAGCTCCATTAATTTATTTTTACTATTAAACATGCCATTTTACAAGCTATTTATTCCACTTGGTTGTCATCCAAATGCTTCTTGACATCACTGCCCTGGGACTGAACTGCTCGCAGCCCGCACAGATAGAAAGTCACTGTGTGAAACCTTGAAGAGCTCTCACGACTGCGCCCCCTTCTCTTCAACAGGCATTCATTTCTCCATCGAGGAGTGAGAGTGTAGTGAGTGCATGTGTGTGTACCTCTGTGTTTTCAGAGGGTCATTGGGGGAGGTTTGAGTGAGCTAAGGGACGAAGGGGAAGAAGAGTCTTGCCTCCTAAATCCTGCCCAGCAGGCCTGATGCTAACTTGGAGAGAAGGGGGATCATCAGAGATCATGTTGGGGAAGAACTCTGAGGCCTGTAAAGACAGTGATCCTGGGGCCCAAGCCCAGCAGCGACTCTTTCAATGGGAGGGACCAGAGAAAGTCCTCATTTCTCACCTTCCTCCCACCCATCTCTGGGACAAACAAAGGGCCAGCACAAACACAGAGGAAGGCAAAGACCCCCACAGGCTGGGCAGCCTATCATCCATCAGGTGGCAGCCTGAGCAAATCACAACTTGGCTTCCCCCAAGTTTTCTCCCCCAGACTCACCGACCACCCACCTCCACTCCCCTGCCTCCCAGCCCTGTGTGCACAGCCGCCAGGCCAAGGGGACCATCCTGTGATGCTCCCTGAGTCCCAATTTCCCGCTCATCTTCCTCTCCGCAGCCTCCCCCAAAGTGGGCCAGGGGGGACGAGGGCAAGTTTGCCAAGACTTGGCTCCCATGTCCCGAGGAAGCCACAAAGAGGCTGCCCCACCAACCCAGATGAACCTCCCGCGTGGGGGGCAGACACAGCAGAGCGCCAGCTGCCATTCCGGGACCAACGTGGGCTGGGGCTGGAGCTGGAGCTGGCAGAGGCGGGCTGCGGGCTTGGGGGCGCGGGCCAGCCCGCGGCAGGCAGCCTGGCTGGGGACCCCAAGGTTCCCTGAGGTCCCCCGAGGTCCCCCGCAGCCCCTCCCCACGCTGGCGGCCCCGGGCACCTGAGCGGGGCGTGGGGACAGCGCCGCGCTCTGGCCCTGCCCGCGACAGGTAGCTCGGTGCCCGCCCGCCCGCAGCCTGCAGCCGCCGGGAGCGGCGAGAGCGCAGAGGCAGCAGCCCCAGCCCACGGCGTCATGCTTCCTGCCACCACGTTACGGCGGATCGTCACCAGGCGAGGGGAGAAGAGGGGAGGGAGGGAGCACCGCACGCAGAACCCCCCAAACCCGCCGAGACTGGGGAGCACGTCCCGCCCGAGTCCCCGCGGGACCTGCCCCGCTTGCACAAAGCGCCGCGGCGGCCGGGCCGGGGAGGGAGGGAGGGAGCCGGCCGCGAAATAAATAAATAAATGCAACCCAGCCGGGTCTACGTAACGCCCTGTCGAAAGCGGACGCCATATTTTTTTGTGGCTTATGTCGACATAGGGAAACGTAGACATGTTTTTTTCCTTCCTCCTCCTCCTCCTCCCGGGCTGGCTCCCATGTATGCAAACTTGTAATTAAAACTCTTTAAAAAAAAAATCCACCCCCAACCCCGGATCTCCGTATTTAAAAAAAAAAAAAAAAAAAAAAAAAGAGAGCCTGCACCCCCTCTTTTCCGCACCCCCTCCCCCCTTCCGATCGCCAAACCCGGCCAAGTCCCACGAAGAACGTTTGCGGGAGCCGCGGCGGCGGCGGTGGGAAAGTTGGGCTGCGCGGCGGCGCGGGGCGGGCGTGCGGGGCGCGGGGCGGGCGGCGCGGGGCGGGGGCTGCGGGGCTGGCGCCGCCGGGGCGAAGTTTCTTACCTGCGCCGGGGCCGGGAGCGCGGGGACCGGGGCCGGGAGCGCGGAGCCGCGGCGGCACGGGCTTTTCCAAAATGGAACTCTGCTGGCTGCCCCCACCCACTCCCCACTCCCCGGCGAGGGCTCCGTGGGAAAGAAGAGGGGCGCCGAGCCAGCCCGCCGGACCGACCGACCGACAGACCGGGAAAAGCGCCCTCGTCACGGAGAACCCGTGGCCAAAATTTTAAAAAAGAAAATTAAAAAAAAAAAGAAAGGAAAGAAAATAAAAGGGGGGGTAAAAAAAAAAATGTCTCGATCAGTGGGGAATCTACGCCAAAACCCACATGATCTGTAACGTCAGCATGCGTATTTGCATACGATACCACCACCCGAGCGGCTGCCACCCGGGCTCGGGTTCCGCAGAAAGTTGCAAAGTGAAATTCGGCCCCCTCCCGAGAGGCGCGGGCGAAATGTCATTTTTCAGGCGGACACTGGGGTTGGGGGGACATGAGAGCCCTAAAGGCGCTGGTTCCTAGCCAAGGTTGCGGGGATTGGGGGTGAGGGGGGGCAGTCCATGAACTTAAAAGTCTGAGCCCGGTAACGGAGTCGGTGGAATTTCTTTGCGAGGGGAGGAGGGGGAGGCACGAGCGAGGTCATTGCACATGAAGCAGGACCCGGCCCTGCAGCCGGCCGGCCGAGGAACCCTCGGGGTGCAGTACCCATGTTCTTTAGGAAAAGTTCAAGGTGTCACTGATGAGCTCAACAAACTGTTGATCCTGACCACGTGGAGCGGCGGGCTGAGGGACCGCGGGGATCGCCCGGCGCCGGCGGTCCTCCCCGGGGACCCCGCGTCCCTCCCGCCCTCCCTCCCTCCCCGCAGCGCGCGGGGCTGCAGCGCGCGGGCGGGGCCGCCCAGTGCCCAGGGCGCTGCCTGCGCCTCCGCTCGTCTTCCGGCTCAGGGAAATGATCACAACCCTTCACAGATACTCTGACAGCGAGGAGGAGACACATTTTTACTCCTGGAATGGCAATGACGGAGCTTTAGGGCGGGGAGACTCAGAGGAAGCCCCCAGTTACATAACGCCTTGCAATGAGGTGCTTGGCTGGGGAGATTCCGAGAGATTTTCCTCTTGCGCCAGGTCTGGGGTTTGGGGAAAGATCCTCCAACTTTTTTTTTTCTTTCTTTTTTCCTTGAGAGCCAATAAACACACAGACGCCCTGGGAGCTGACTTCCACTCTTGCGGGGCCAGGCGCTTGCGGGGATCCTCAGACTCAGAGACAAGCACACCCCTGCGGCTTTGGCGGGGACATCCCTGGGAAGCGAGGCGGTACCCTTTCGGAGTTAGGGCTCCGGCTCTCCGGCGGGAGGACGTCCCTCACCGCCACCGCCGCCGCCGCCTCAGGGCTCCCCTCGGGCGCGTTAGAGCACAGGCGCCCCGGGAGGGAGCCTGCGGCCTGGGGGAGGGGGGACCTGAACTTGGCCTTGGGCGCAGCGCTCCTGCAACAGTGTTCGCCAGGGGAGGTACATTCCGAGTCCAGAACCCTTTCGGAATGAATCTCACCGGGGCGATCTGTGGGTGCCTGTTCGTTAGCTGCCAGGATGGATGGGGTTTCCCTCCGTGGGCATCTGAACGCGGCAGCGTCTCCCCGGGCGGGAGCTGGAAGTCACCGCACAGGAGCCCAGCGAGGGCGATGGGGAGCCCTCTGGGGTCTGCTGTGGGGCCTCTGAGCTCAGCGAGAGAAAACGAAAGGAAGCTGGGACTGGGCGGCTGCATACCTGCCCCGCGGATCAGCAGGCGGGGAGGGAGGCTTCTGGGCCAGCCTCTGCTCCGGGGAATTAGAACGAACTCTAGCGGCGGTTTGCGACTCGGCTCCTCCGGGCTTAGGGCAGCAACAGGTGGCCTGGTGCGACGGACAGAGTGGTGGGAGGCCAGGACAGGGACTGCGGTGGGCACCGCTGGCTTTGGGGGCTGACTGCTTGGCCAACAGACTGGGTGACTTTTGGCCTTTTTTTCCTTTTCCTACGGTGGAGAGAAGGAAGTAGCGAAAAGGTTGTTTTGTTTTAGGATCTCCACTGGGGCTTCAATTTCTCTAACATAACCCTTTGGGTCCCCAGAGATTTTTTTTTTTTAACAGTAGAAATAAAGATAGCTCAAATGCAAAACTTTCTTATTGGCTTGCACCTTTTGGTTAGGCTATTGCTGATGGCAGTCTGTTTGCTTTTCCACGATGCATACAGGAAGGGCCTGGCCCAGGAGAGGGTTAGTTGCATGATGCTAGCACGGATAACATGGCATCTTTCTCAGACTCATTGGTATCAATACCAGAATTTAGAGATGCTGCCTTCCCCTCTCCTTCCCTCAGTGGTGTGCCAGGAGAGTAAACAAAAAAAAATAAAAGTTTGCCCCCGAAACATCAATATTTTTATTTTGCTTACTTTGGACTCTTTCAGGTCTCACTCTTACCCTTACTTTCTCTTGTTTAGGTCATTACACCACTTTCCTGCTCCTTTTAAAATAAGTATAGTTCTTGCCCTAGTTGGTTTGGCTCGGTGGATAGAGCATCAGCCTGTGGACTGAAGGATCCCAGGTTCAATTCCGGTCAAGGGCATATGCCGGGGTTATGGGCTTGATCGCCAGTGTGGGGCATGTAGGAGGCAGCAGATCAATGATTCTCTCTCATCATTGATGTTTCTCTCTCCCTCTCCCTTCCTCTCTGAAATATGTGTGTATGTGTGTGTGTGGGTGTGTGAGTATGTTTGCTTCCATGGGCATATTGAAGCCAGGAGGAAGCTATTCCCATTTTGAGGATTCATCTCTTTTTGATGGTCAGTCGCTTAGGAGAGTGTCTGTAAGCCAGGGTTTGTTCACCTCACCCATTCCACCTGCTTCTGGCTGGATAGGAGACTCAGGGTGGGAAGGGGCAGGGTATAGGGTATAGCCAAGGAGGGTAAATCCTCAGGACTGTGTATAGAATTTCTTTGTTTTTTGAGCATATGGGTCTCATGGACACTGTAGGGGTTTCTGGTGGGCTTCAGTGTCATCCAATTGGTCAAAGTGTAGCGTGGACTGAGCTTTCACTTTATAAACAAACAGCAGGGAGTAAAGCAAGGGTGGCTTTTAGGTTAAGTGCTCCGATTCCGGTGTAGGTGGAGTAGGCAGGCCCTTATCTGATAGGATTCAAGAGCTTTGAAATCAATAATTTTAAGAGCAATGTTTATTGAGTGCTTTCTATGCCTATGCTACTTGCTACTTAATCTTTTCAACAACCCTATCAGTCAGTGCTTCTTAAGTTTTGTTTTTGTTTTTGCTTTTTTTGGTCTCAGGTATCCTTTAAACTAGGGGTGTCGAACTCAATCAGAGAAGGGGCCAAAATCTAAAATCCAGCCTAAATCTCGGGCCGAATGGTTTACTGAACAGTCATAAACTGTCATTGTGATGGAAACGCAGCGGAGTGCAGTGATGACAGCGTGGTGCGGGCCACATTGCAAGGCCTGGCGGGACGGATTTGGCCCGAGGGCCTTGTGTTTGACACAATGTGCTTTAAACTGTTCAAATTATTGAGGACCCCAAATAGCTTTTATGTGGCAGAAATATATAGATATAGACAGAAATTAACCATGTAGATATTAAATTGGAGAAAAACCTACAACATACTTTTCATTAGCTATTAATTAGAGCAACAACACCATTACAGGTCACAGAGCCTCTGGAAAACTACTGTGTGTTTGTGAGAGAACGAGAATGAAAATGGCAAGTGTCATTTGCATACTCTTAGGAAAATAGTTTGGCCTTGAGGGCTCCCTGAAAGGTCCGGAATCACATTTTGAGAAACACTGTTAAATATGTTATATTATTACACATGTTTGCAGACAAGGGAACCAAGGCTTGGAGAAATATAGTCACTTGCTCAAGGCAAATGAAGGACTTAAACAAGGATTACAAGGATTAAACCACGAAAACAAGGATTTAAATCTGGTCCATTGGAGCCCAGAGCCAGGTTCCTTAATGATTGTAAATTCTACCTTTTGTTGACAACCCGAGTCCACCCTCCGTCTAGAACAGCTTCTAGTGCTTCCCAAGGCTACTATATATATATATATATATATATATATATATATATATATATATATATATATATCAGAGAGGAAGGAGAGGGAGAGAGAGAAACATCAATGATGAGAGAGAATCAATGATGATTGGCGGCCTCCTGCACTCCCCACATTGGGGATCGAGTCAACAACCTGGACATGCACCCTGACTAGGAATCAAACCCTGCCCTCCTGGTTCATAGGTGGGTCGACACTCAGTCACTGAGCCATGCCAGCCTGCCCCAAGGCTATTTTTATGAATAGCAATCATGTTTTGAGGCCCTACCAGGTGCCAGCCTACCATGGGATACTGTTTTTTCCCATTTTACAGATGACAACACTTCTTCACAGAGATTAGGAAGCTTCTCCTAAGTCACTCAGACAAAAAGTAATAGAACCTTGTTTCAAGTCTTCCGTGGCTTCCAAACCAATGAAAGATGAGAGTCCGCCAAGTGCTTTATAGAGGCCTCGGGAGGAGAGAGCAGCTTCTTCTTATAATTTGGTGAGAATGAGGCCTGGCTGGGAAGTCTTGAAAACTGAGAAATGGCAGGAGCAGAAGAAATAAATAAGAATAAAATCAAAACCGGTTGACTCAGTGCTTAGAGTGTCGGCCTGGGGACTGAAAGGTTCAGGTCAAGGGCATGTGCCTTGATTGCGGGCACATCCCCAGTAGGGGGTGTGCAGGAGGCAGCTGATCAATGTTTCTCATCGATGTTTCTAACTCTCCCTTTCTCTTCCTCTCTGTAAAAAAAAAAAAAATCAATAAAAATACATTAAAAAAAAAAAAGAATTAAGTCAGCATCCCCTAAGGACTTCCTCATTTAATGACAAAGCATTCACCCTGGCTTATAAACTCAAAGCAGTCATGGTGGGTGCAGCAAAGATTTGGACTGGAGATTTGAATCACAGGGCTGCCCTTTCACTCGTCTAATTTTGGCACATGTATGCTCAATGGATTTTTTTTTTTTAATGAATGAAGAAAAAGAAAGCAAAGTATAGAGATACAGCAAGAAAAGGAAGCCAATCAGCAGCAGTCTGACCTGCTACTGGTGATAATTTGGGTATATATCCTTCCACATGTTCAGTTGTCTAGTTGGCCATAACTAGACTCAATGTTATGTCATTAAGAGACATGGCGCTATGTGCCCATGAATTATGTCATAGATGCACAAGTAAGTGATTGCTGAATAAGTGTATGTCATTTCTCAGTGACAACTATTACATATTGATTTACAAACTGTAAGTCAGATAGGGACCTGATACTGTTTATAACAAAGCAAGATGGAGTGCGACCATTTGGAACATTCAGATCACTTCACCGAATCCCTGCAAGTGGGAGGGGAAGGGAAGCATGCGAGACATGCTGTTT